TCCAAAGATCATAACTCTCTCAGTTTTCAACTTTTGTGGGTGGTTCATTTTGAAAATCATCATATTTTATTCCCTCTACAAGTTTGTTTCAAGGATCAAAAGCCAATTATTCTTGAAAAACCATGAAAAGTTTGAAGACATTATAGGTAATTTTGGACTTGGAATTATTCTGACTTCTAATCATAAGTCATGGTGCCAACTTTACCATCTCATAACTTTGTGCTCATGTGTCTAAATCAATACTTTCTTTTCACATTGTATTCTTTGTTATGACGTGATCACTTTGCAAAAAGAATGAACATTAAACATAAAGTGTAGAAGATTTTCCATTGGTTTGAAATTGGCCTCATGGAACTGAAGATTGCTCATGGTCAGAATTTGAAAATCACAAATTACTCCAAATTGAGCCAAGCATTGTACGTGTTTTGTCCATGATGATGTTAAGTGATACTTAAGGAACAAAATCGACCCAAAATTGGAAGGATTGAGTTGCGTCTTAGTAACTTCACAACCAAGAATGATCACACTTTTGGCACACTCGATTACACACGAATTCTAACCAATTTCCACACGTGTGAGCTTCATTCACCTCAATTATAAATAGAGTAAGCTTCTGCACTCAAATTCAAGCTTAGAAAGCCCAAGAACTCTGCCTGAGCTCACACTTTTCACTAAAATTTTGAGAGTTTATTTTCAAATTCTAAGCAATTTCAACTCCATTTCTTAATTCCATTAGCACCTTCGGCATCCTCTGAAGCTATACCAACAAGAACCAAGCCTTGAAAGCCTCTGAGTTGTGCTAACCAAATCCACCTTGCAGCATCTTCTGATCGTATTTGGACAAGGTAGTTAGAAGCTTCGTTTTCACTCAAACGAGTTACCACAATGTAGCCTGATACTGTTTGATGCTTTCCCCTAACTTATCTTGCTTTGGTTGATCGTATATGACATTTAATTTTACTTTCCATGTTTTGTTTTTCACTGAGTTTTCTCCAAAATTCTCCATGTTCGCTTTCAATAAATAAAAATGAAGCAAATAGTTGAGATCGCACTGATGAGACGGTCACAATGGCATAGGTTTCATGATCTAACTTTGCCATTTGCCAAACTCTGGTGAGCAACTCATTGGAGAAGATGACCGGAGGTGTAGGGGTGGTGGCTTAAGGATGCTACGTGTTTTAATCTTAATGGTTGATTTAAATTAGATCGGATGTGTTATTTCATTGAAGGACCAGGGTGAGCTTCTAGATCTGAGTCATCTGATGTGCCACATCATTTAATGAATCTAGATCCAATGCGCCTTGTTTTTTCTGATTTATTTTTTTTTTCTTTTATTTCATTTTATTTGATTTTCTTTTATAAAATTCATTTTTAATCAGATTTTCATCTAAAAAAATCTCAAAATATTTCTAAAAATATGTTCTATTATTTTACACCTTGTGTATTTTTTTTCACAATTTTATTTTATGATTTGCTATTTTTCTTTAATTTTCTTATATTTCAAGTATTTTATTTGGTTTAAAAATAATTTTATGCATTTTAAAAATCTTCAAAAATTATCTTTTAATCCTTGACTTGTTTCTGACCTATTTTGATTTTATGGAGCCTTTATTTGATGTTTAGATACTTGATTTGCATTTTCTCTTTTACTTTCTATTTAAAATCATTTTAAAAATTATTTAATGCTTTATTTTATTTCTTTTATGCATTTTTAATATTTTTTTTATTTCTTTTGACTTGGATTAGGGTTGATTAATCAAAATCTTCCTCAATTTCAATGGACTTTGGGTGTTGATGAGGTTGGATGAATCTTTATCAATTCAAATTTTGTATTAAACGATGAATCATTTTTTGTGCTTTTGGTTGATGATATATTTAGTATCTTAATCCACCACGAGAGGTGATTGAAATTGATGATAGATGAATCTCAAGTCATGGTTCAAATTTGGTTTAACTTCTCTTCATCGCTTTCTCCTTCTTTTCTTTTTCCTTTTCTCTTGATCAATTAGATGATTCTGTCCACCTTGTTCATGAAATTTGGATTGATGATTGATGAACTTTCATCATATAAAATCTACCTTCCAATTGATCATGAATCATTTGAGGTACTTTGAATTAATGCATAAGTTTGTCATAAGTTATCATGAAGGATGATTGATGTAATGGACCAATCTCGCTACCTTAGTGCTTGATACCTCCTTAATTTTTACTTGTGCTACATGTTTTAGGAGTATGGTTTCTATCACATCTCTAACATGTATGGTACATAAATTTTTATAGACCGGTCTTCCTTAGTATGATCTTCCTAATAGATTGTGTTATGATTGTTTAAGATAGTGTTAAAGTTGTCCTGAATCGATTCATTAACTCTAACATCAATACTAACATTATTATTGTGCTAACTTTACTTTTTGTCATCTAATTTTCTTGTCATTAATTTCTTACTCTTTACTTTTATGCCTTTACTTTTAACATTACATTTCATATTGTTTATGTTTATGCTTCTTTATTCTTTGTCCACTTGGACATTTTCTTTTGCTTTTAAAGAAATTAATAAAGGAAAAACCCTAAAAAATTGGTTCTCTACTCTTTGGATTAATGGCCACTGTCCTTAGCTTGACTTGGAGTTGAACTTTTGGACTTATCGACTTTGGTTGCTTTTTCCTATGCTATTGAATTATTCTGAGACCTTGGTTCATTCATCTGATACTTGAGACCTTTGAAGACTTGGCTTTGATACATAGCTTTGACCTTATGGCTAAGCTCTTCTATTATACGATGTTTGTCTTACTCTATGCTTACTCTACTCCAAAGGAATTGAATGTTTGCTTGACTTATGTCAGTTGCTGGTTAGATCCTGGTTAGTTCACAATGCACACACAAAGACTTCCTCTTGAGCTACCTTACAATGAGATCATTTATTTCTTTCTGTTTATTTTATGCATTAGAATAGTCTCTTCATCTCCTCTCCTTCTTTAATTATTAAAATCTTCTTCCTTTTTCAAAACCTTCTTGTTTTCAAACTTGAACCACTTTCTCAATAAATCTTGACTTTGTCAAGTGATTTTCAAAATATTTTTCTTAAATAAATACTAAAACATCTTAAGACTATCAAAACAATTTCAAAAGACTTAAAAAACATAAAACTCATTCAAACCTTTTGTGCCTTTGTACACCTTTTCCTTTTAAACATTTTTCTTAAGAATAGTCATTAGTTGCGTTCTTGTAGTGATGCAACTCCTATACTTCCACAATAATACAGAGAAGTGATGATATTTTCTACTTAGATGTTGAGTGATAAACTTGTTGATTTAAATCTAAGCAAAAATCCTCCATCTCAAGATGATGCAAATGCTCATTTCTCATTAATTGTGGATAGTAAGTTGAGTTTCCACTTGAATATGACGAAATGTCTATTCATTTAAAATCAATCAAAACAAACATCTTTGCTATTTTTACCACGAACTACATATGCATGAGGCTCAAGAAGTCTTGTCAAATAAAAAATCTTTAAAAAATACTTTTCTTCTCATCTCCACAATCTTTTGCAAACAACACCCTAGTTTAAGTCAAACGCAGATTTTTAAGAGATTCCTATAATACTACATATGTGAGAGGTGCTAACACATTCTCATTGCATAACTAATTCTCGTACCCTTATCTATTTGTTATATTTGTTTTATTTTAAAACTTCTGTGCATTTTATTCATTCTTTTTTCATCCTTTTATAAACAATAAAGAACGGTGACGACTCTTATTTTATAAATTAAATTAATCAATAATTTTATCTTAAATTATCTTCCGTCACTATAACACTAAATTGAACAACTTGTCAAACTTGATGCTCACATCAATCTTTAGAAGATATCAAAATATTTTAAATAACAAGAAGCTAATAAAAAAATTTGAATCAGAACTCTTATTTTCATAAGAATGGGCAACTACCAAATCAACCACAGATGGGGGAAATATGATAACATTAAGTTGTCATCTGATGATAAGATATGGAGTCTAAAATCGTTCAAATTCGACCTATTGAAGTATAATTTTGAAAAAGTGATTTAACCCTCTAAATTTTTTCATAGACCTTCTCCATGAACCTGTAAATTTTTTTTCTTCGAAAGTGATTTAAGCATTAAATATTCAAACTTCAATATTTGTTAAATATAAATATATTATAGATCAATTGACAAATTAACTCAGTTGATAAAGATACGAAAAATATAAGGAAATATTGAGTTTTTCTTTTTCTTTTTCTTATTAGAGCTAGTGACTTTTGTAATCTTTTATTTTTTTTAAAACACTGTACTTTTTTAAAAACAAAAAAAAATCTATTAATTAGAGAATAATTTAAATATATAAATTAATATTAAATAAAAATAATTGTCATCTTCATGTGATCATAATACTAACTAAATATTTAATTGAAAATTAAATATATTTTTAACTTTGGTAATTTTTAATCCTACCTTACATAAAAAATTAAAATATAAATATTTTAAATAAACTAATTCATATTTAAATTATAGTTTAGCATAAATAGATTATTGATCATCTTAAATTTCATTACCAAAATAATTATTTTATTTTATTTTATGAAACCTTTTTTTTGTGTGTTACTATTGCTTGTATAAAAGGCTTTTAAAAATTTGACAAATAAAAAACTTTACTATAATATGAAAGAGTTTAGAAGGTGGCTCGCATAGAAATAAGACTTATCGTTTGTAATTCAACTTTTATAAATCTTATCTTTTCACTATATAAAAAACTCTACTATAATATGAAAGAGTTTAGAAGGTGGCTCGCATAGAAATAAGACTTATCTTTCATGAACAAACTAATAAACACAAATATATGAACATTTTCACTATATATATAAATTATGTGTACAGTCACTAATAACATTGATCATACTTTATAATTTCATAAAATGATCCACACAGAATAACACAAACAAAGAAGAACAAGAAAGAGGATATAGACAAAAATATTAGTCATGATCACCCCAAATAGTTAACCAACAAAGACAAAGGAACCAAGCAAAGTCCTCTTTTCTTCAATTCTATGCAATCAATATTCTTCTCATTAAATTCAAATTCAAGCTTATCATCCATTTGCAGCAACTCTGAATGATTCTCTGATGATGTTAACCCTTTACCCTACACAATCATGATCATGAAAAACCATAGCATAATTGGTTAGGAATATCAACAACCAAACATCAATATTGTTTCGTCTTTTTATATGAAAACCATATAACATAAAATATCCAGGTTTACCATAGAACCTGCTTGTAGTTGTTCATCAATCTTCCTAGAAGCAATTTGACTTGGACTCAAGTCTCTCACCTACAGGTAATAATAATAAATTAACAAGGGAAAGGAAAAAAAAAAACTGATCATCACAGGTTAAGAATCAGGTCGAACGTGTCAAGCAGATTACTGCACAAAATCTAAAATTTGAAACGTTTTAATCGTGGCTAAAAGAATCTCAAAAAATATTTCTCATAGTTAAACCATGATAAAATAGGGTATGCAAACAGGATGTTCGAAAACATAAGACGGCTCCGTTAAGAGTCGAGAAAAATAGTACCTTGGGACTATTGACAGGAGAGCTAGCAGTGTCTTCTAAAGGGTCATCATCCGAAATAATTTTGTATCTAGTTTTCTTGAAACAAAGCTTCTTTGGCAACTTTGATGAAACAATACGATCATGATGATGAGAAAATTTCCATACAGCACAAGAAGAAGCATCTGAAACCAAAGAAGAGCCACCACCTGAATAATAACTTGGTTTTGTGCCTTTTGAGAAATCATCAAAGTAAGTTGTCCATCCACTTTCTTTTTGAGAATTTGGATTATTATTGGTGGTTGTGGTGGTGGTTGCGGTGGTGGTAGGTTTGCCTCTTGATGATTTCAGAGAATGATCCATTTTGTCTAATTAAAAAGAAAAGTAAAGCTTATAGGTATAGAAAAACAATAATATATACAGTGGTTGGGTTTGGCAAGAGGTTGAGAAGAGGTTTTGTTGAGGGATTTATAACCGAAAGTTGTGAGTGAAGAATAGAGAAAAAGACAAAACATGGTGTAGAATCTTTTGGTGGGACATAGATGGTGTTAAGTAAGCAAGTTAATAAAATAGACAGTTGAAATTCCAACCGAAAACAAACCAATGCTAGAGAGAGAAAGTGAAGGAGGGAGAAAACGTGCAAGAGGAAATGACATAGAGATAGAGATAGGGTTGACCTTTATGGTTATGAAAGGTTTTCTTTTAGTTACAATAGTTAATTTGTTTTAAAGTTCACAAACTTATCTTTTTTTATTAAGCAAGGAAATTTATTATTGATTCAAGATAAATTTTTATTTGTCCAATAAACTATTTTAAAAAGGAAACTATTGAGTCAAACACTATTATATTCTCTAATAATTAGCTAGTTCATTGCATGAGCAACTTTGTTGTCATTTCTATTAACAAAAGAGACATGGGCCTCTTCAAAGTCCAACTTTCCTTCCTTAACCCTAACATAGCAAAGTTGGTGTGTTAAGAATTAACTCTTAAAAACTATTTTAACCAATTAACAATCTTGTGAGCTACACTTAATGCACTTTCACATAGCTTATCATTATTTTTGGTGAAAGTATTCTCATTTTCTTGATGAAATATCTTCCTACAAGTTGGATGATTGATAACAATGTATGAAAAGATTGTGGCAGCAATGACTTTCTAAAGAAATCAACCAACTAGTCTTTTGAGATTATTGATAAGAACTTCATCATATTTTGTACTTAGCTTTTCTCTAACCAAATGAAAATTAATCCCTAAATATTTTGTCTTTCATAAAAAAAACTGAATTGACTGTAATTTAAATTGCATTTTAATTGTGGCAATATAGAACAGGTGACTTAATACTTATGACTTGTAGATTTTTAAGTGGAGCAGTCATTAAAGCTCACGTGTTGTAGTTACATTCCATCTCTGATGATGATTTCGATAAAATTAATTGTTTCTTGGTTTTCCATGATATAAGTAACTTGCCTAAGAAGAAACATCGTCATAAGATTGTCTTTTTTTTAATCTAGACATTCAGCCTAGTGTGCATTAGGATATCCATGCAATTGGATTCTTGAAAGGAAAATAATATACCACAATCAAAATAGGTTTTCAAGTATTTGAGATTTTCAAGTATTTGAGAATGTGAGTTGCAGCATTGAAATGATATATGGTAGGTGGATATATGAATTAACTTAATTATTGAGTACATAATGTAATGTAAGATCTTGTAGAATTTAGCTATAACAATCTACCAACCAATCTCATGTATGACGGAGTATCGGGATATGGCATTACTACGGAAAACATATATCACAACAGTTGAAAAAGAAATACCGTCATGTTGGTCCAATTATTATGAGGTAAGGAGTGATTTTATGTATGATGTTTTCCACCACGAACATGTGACCGTGATTGTATCTATGTAGCGCGCTACATATTACAACGGTTACTTTAAACAACTGTTGTGATATCCTTTAATGCAGCATATTTAACAATGGTTGTGTTAAACAATCGTTGTGATATATAGAGCTGAGTTTATTATAAATTATGTGAAATATTTATTTCGCCAATACTCACTAAATATATAACCTTTCAATATGTACTAAAACATTATAATATGACAAATTAAGTTATATTAGAAGTACAAGTTCACCTTTAATGCTTGACAAGAGTTATTCAACACCTTATCCATATTTTGTTTTTTAACAGTAAAAACTTGGTTTAATGATCCTAGTTCTTCGACCACCCCTGCCTTCACCTCTAGTTCTTTTTACAAAATATTATCTATTTTGAAAAATTATTATAGGTGGAGAGAGGGTTGGTTGAAGACAGACAATCATTAAACCAAATTCTAACTGTCAAAGAACAACATGCAGTTAACAATATGAAGAATTTTTGTCAAGAATTGAATGTCTACTTGTTTTCTAATACAATGTTATCTATCATATCATAATTTTCTAATGCAATTTGGAAAGTTATATATTGGATAAAGGAAAGGAAAAATACTCAAACCACATAATATATAATAAACTCACATTTTAAATAAACATTAACAACAACATTCATCAACAACAAATACAACATATCAAACCATAGTATGCTTCAGAAACGTATCATACATGTCCTATAATGGCGTGTCCACAATAAAATAAGAATAAAGGTAAAGTTAGAGCAGTAAACTTAACATCCCTACCTACAAGTTTGCAACGCTAACTTTAGTTTTGTCCTCTTTATTGAAACAAGCATGCCTACCTACAAGTCAAAATAAGAAGAAAGTTCATACATCATAAAACAAGCTATTAAAACAGATTTTGAAAAAATATAGAGAGAGAAAATGAACATGTAAATACCCATTGGCTAAGATTTGATGTTATGATTTTGTTTTGGAGTTTCCAGATGAGAGAGACGAGTGACAAAGTTGTTAGGGTTTTGTTTGGAGAGAGACGAGTGAACGAGTTGTTAGAGTTTTGTTTTGAGAGAGACATATGTTATACTGAAGTGAATGATAATTTCGCTTATATATAAATAAGTATAACATTTCATCATGTTTGGTAAAAAAAAAGTGGTGATATACATGGTCAGTCACATTTTTATCATGATAAATGGGTAATTATTAGTGTTGAGATTCAAATCATTTTTTTCCGTGTATCTTTTACTGGTTGTTTCATTTGACCGTTGTGACATGTCTTTTAGTAAATACCAAAACAAAAAAGCTCCTATAAATAAATTATTAGCACAGTTAACACCTTTGTAAAATTAGTGTTATGAAAGGTCTATTTTGTATTAGTGTGGTGAGCTAGAATATTTATGTAATTTTAAAGATGGATCATAATGAGTGGATAGTGGCTTGGAGAATAGCATTACTTAATCATCTACCAAATAGTATTTTTTTTATATGGATAAATTCACATTCAGAATATGAAACTTCAAACTTAATGAAATATTTGAGCTAATCTAGATCTTTAATCTTGAAAGAGTTGTGTGGTGCATCTTTAGTAGACCTCAATTTAGACATAGTGTCACTTTCTATTATAATATCATCCACATATACAAATATACAAGAATTATTATAAAAGATAATGGAGTATGTTTGATGAATAGATAATGATTTGAATTGTGTTGTTTGTATTAATGTTGAGTAAGGAAGGAATGAAGTATTTCATGCCATCTTCTGCTAACTTGCTTAAGTATATATAGAGACTTGATAAGCTTACATACCTAATAAGGCTTAGTGGTGCTACATCATGTGGCACAATCATGTAAACATATTATTAGAGCTCTCCATGCAACTAAAAAAAGCATTTTTAACATCGAAGTAGTGTATGATCCAACAATTGATAGAAGTCAAAGTTATGATAGTTCTGATAGTAAGTTTGACGACTAGAGAATAAGTTTCAAAATAAACAAGACCCTCAATATTAGTATAGCCCTTGGTTACAACTTTGGCTTTAAATCTCTTGATGGAGCCATTTTCAAGATATTTGATCCTATGCATCCATCTACATCCAATTAGTTTTACATTTGGAAGGAAATTCATAAGCTTCCAACTCCTAGTTTTTTCTAGAGAATTCAATTCAACATGCTTTGCTTGATTACAAAACTTGAGTTAATAGTATCATCATACGTTTTGGCTGAATTTGTGATGTTAAAGACAAGGAATAATGACAATGAAATTTATAAAAATTTAAACAAATAAAAAAACACCTAAACTAAAAGTATGATAGAATATACCTCATTATTACTTGAAGTGCAAGCATTCTCATTTCCTTGATGCAACATCCTCCCACAAATTAAAGGTTGGTAAATGTCTACCATCTTTAACTTAGATAGCATTATATAGAAAGGCTGAGACAACAATGGTTTGGTAAAGAAATCAATCAACTAATCTTTTAAAGTTACTGGGAAGAGCTTTCTCATACTTGCACTTAACTTTTTTCTAACCAAATGAGAATCAATCTTTAAATATTTTATTATTTCATAAAAAATTGGATTAGCTTGTTGTCGAAATATAGAACATGCGACTTAATGCTTCTGACTTGTAGATCTTTAAGTAGGGCAGTCATTAAAAATCAGATGGTGTTATTATCAATGCTTTATACTTTCCATTTGATGATGATCTCAATATAATAAGTTGCTTCTTGGTTCTCCATGATATAATTGACTTGTGTAAGAAAAAACATTGTCATAATAAGTTTCTTTTCTCTAGAAATATGAAAATATATATACCATGTAGCTTTATTATCAAATGAACACAATTGATACATATGAAAAAATATCTTATTTAAAACATGGATAGCCTAAAATATCAAAGTTCATTAAAAGGAATAATAGAATTTTGATTCGATATAGAATTCATGGATTTTGCGGGTGGTTTGAAGTAGCATTAGCATCAAAAACTAGAATGTCCATCTGTAATCTATATACGTCTTTAGGCTGCTTACCTAAATCAATCATCTTTTTAATTTTTAGATCATGTAAAACATGTTTTTAAGCAAGAAAATTAATGAAATAGTGACATTATTGGCATAACTTTGAAACATGAACTAGATTTAGATTAAAACAAGTTGAATAAAGAGTATTAGTGAGGTGAAGATAGGGTGAAAAGAAACATTACCAACATAATGAGCTAAAACTGAACTATCATTAGATAAGATCACACTGACAGGTTTAATTTTTTTAAAGGAAATTTAAAAATAAATTGATTTGATTTGATGAACATACATGGTCATTGGAATCATAATCCAATATCCAAAATTCATTTTATGATGCAATGAACTATGTGTAGTACAAACAATACTTAATGATGGCTCAATTGATAAATGACTATGATTGATAGATAAAAGAAAATTTGATTGGTTCTAGTTGAGGGGTTAGTGACT